TGAGGCAAATCAGCCCTGATGACTGGAAAGGAAGCTGGAGGTCGAGGAGGGAATGGGGTGAGTGACTGGGAACAAATGTCAGAGAGATGTCCAGCAATAGAAACCCAACTTCTAGAAATGTAAGAGTTGGGGCTGACATCACCCCAGCCATCTGAAAGGTTAAACCTTCCTTAGGTGTCAGCAGTTTGCTTATTTGGGATGTTGTTGACAGGAAAATGAGTCATTTAGTATACCCTATCTTTTAAGACTGTTAGATATTCACTAAGAGCCAGAACTATGTTGTCTGAATATTTTCAGAAGTAAATGTGAGTCATGGAATCTAAGAAGAGAAGCTGTTGGTGCCCTGCCTGTGGCCCTTGGCTCTCCACCTCCACAGTCTGAAGGCAGCCAAATGCCGAATGCTGCCCCTGACTCTGAGCCTGAATCAGCCAGTGAACAGGGCTACTTGGACAGCTGGGGAGTGCATGCTCCTGGAAGTAGCCCTTGCTCCTTCAGGATGGGACGCGAGTGAATAAAAACTCAGCTTCCTTACCCCTGGGTTGGGATAACTCAGAACGTGCTCTCACTGTTCCCCGGAGGTCCGCCATTGAGATTGAGCTCCACTTGCCCACAGGGCTGACTGGCTCGAGAGAACACTCTTTTGAATTCCTTCTCTCCTCTGTGGAGAAGTATTTTAGGGTCTGCTTCTGGAGAAATCTAACCCACGGCAGTAGGACTAGTACCTCTGGAGCTCTAAATATATCATAATGATCCTGTATTCTTGTGTAACCAGAGAACAGACTGACTCAATGAGGAGCGGGGGTGGGATTGGGGGGAATTCCTGTTACTAGAAATGTGCAGGGATTTAGTGAGTTCGATGATGACTACCTTGAAGGGTCCCACTGGCAGGGGCTTCAAAAAATAAAAAGGCTCGCATAACTATATTTGCCAAGATGGTGACTAAACTTTCTAAATCCCCTGTTCTCCTCCTGTACTCTCTCACCCAGTAAACTTGAGCTAGACTTCCGGAAGAAGGGAAGAAGGGAAGGGACTGCAGGTTACTTGACAGTAGGTCAGAACAAATCTCTTGGACCTGTTTCCTTATTCGGAACATGAGGGAGTTACCTGAGGCGGCATCTACGGTCTCCACCAGCTTTGACATTCTAGGACTTGGTGAGCCGGTTGTGGGAGTGGTCTCTGTATATGAGGGAGGTAATGGAGGACAATCCAGAGGGCCCTGTGGGACCTGCAGAAAAGCCCCTCCCTCTCTGAGGCTCGCTGTTCTCAGTTGCCATGAGGGGACTGGATTAAATGACCTCTAAGGTCATTCTCAGCAGCAACACTCTGGGTCTTCAGGTCTGTCCCCAAGATCCTGTTTTCCTCATCACCACAGTTTGGGCCGGGAATGGAACCCAAATCCTACTCTCTATGTAACGGTTGCCAAGTATCTCCTTGGAGCATCCCTGAGTCCCAAGCTACCAGTCAGTGTTGGCATTTGGCCAGAATGGAACAACAGAGGTTCCTTACAGAGCTCCCCGCCCTTCTCCTCAAAACATACTGCCACTTCCTTCCAGCACTGCTCTGAGGCACAGGGCCACCTCCACACTCTGGAGTTCTCTCTTGTCCTTTTGTCCATGTTTCAGTCCCCACCTTCCCTTTAACCATGAAAAGATAAGCTCTGTTCCCAATTAAGAGAATGCCGGGCAGCGGACAGCAAGAGCAGTTGGGGGCAGCAGGGTCTTCCCAAGGCCTGCAAGTCATACCCCTACGTTGTGCTCAGTCTTGTCAATAAGCAGATTGTGGCCAGGAAATCTAGAGGGTGTGAAATCAGCAAAGCAGTGTTCCAGCCACTGGGCCAGCCAAGCAGGAAATGGCCTGAATACTTTACAATCCAGGTCAGTTGTGCCTTCCCACAGCTGCCCCAAGACTCCACTCAAGATCGAAGATCCTATAGGCCATCGGCTAGCTGCCTATCCCATGATTTCCACAGCTGAGGAAGTGCATTTTAAAATCTCTTAGATTGTTAGCAGGGTTTCGGCTTAGCATGGAGAGCCTGTGTGATCTTCATCATATCACTTAGCTCTTCTACCTCTCAGATTTGTCATTTGAAACATAGGCATAAAGATATTAATCTACGGCCCGCTCCATGGTTATGAGTTTCCTCAGGCTAGATAGAGCATTACTTGGAAAAAGGAAATGAAAAGACATGGCCAATATATTTCCTGTGGTTACCTTTGGGTGAATTTGATTGTTCTACATATATTCATCTTATGCTTCTCTGTCATTTCCCAATTTTTGACAATAAGCACATGCTACGCTTGTAACAATAAAATTTAAACATAATTATTTAAAAGAGGGTTCTGCATGCATACATCTGTTCACTGTTTAGCCTCATCTGGCTTCCTCGCTGGAAACATCCCCAACTCTTTGTCTTTAGGCTAGAAGGGATCCAATCGTTCATCTGACTCCAACCCTCGTCCTACCAATGAGGAGACTGCCGCCCTCACACTCGGCCTACCTCCTCTGACTTCCCACCAAGGAACAGTTAAAGAAAAGTCAGCAAAGAAATAGATAATGGAGAGATGTTAATTCCTTAGATAAGAAGAGTTTATGCATCACATTTATATCCTTTAAAAAAATCAGCCTTTCTCCTCTCTTCTACTCACGGAGTCTTCCTGGCAGCTTGCAGATTCCCCCCTCACCCAGCAGGTCCACTCGAGCTTCCCATCTGGCTTGGTCTTGGGTCCCTGGGGGTGGCGTGGCTGCTGTGAGGCTCACAGGAGAACCAGCCAATGCTACCTCCTAGAGAAAGAAAAAGCCAAGACAGTCAAAAATCAGCATCTTGATCAAGGCTCGTTCATCCTCAAATGTATCAAGAATTTCAGTCAAAAAGAAAGAGCACCCGTCTCCACATCTGCCTTAGAGATGGGAACCTTATATGTCTTCAGCTTGATTAACATCATGTACACAGTGGACACTTGATAAATTTCATCTTTCCAATTCGAGCTTTTCATGTATATGCCTAACCCCACCAGAAGGATCCTCAGGCTCCCCTACCAAGACTTGACTTGTAAGTTGGAAATCTAAGGACCTAGGAACTCTCACTGGAACCTTAGTGAGAGGACCCAGGGAACCTGAAGAGTCAGGATAAAAAGACCTTAAATCAGAAATAATAAATTAACAAGTAAATGCTCTTTTCCAAAGAGAAAAGGAGCGGATAAATTTATGAACCCCAAAAACCCACAAAGGGATGTCCGTATCTTTACAATTTTATAATCAGCCTAGCCCCAGAGGTGATTTGACTCATCCATCAGAATGAGGGGATGAAAAAAATGACAGGATTTTGTGGAAACAAGGGATCCTCGGGGCTCACACCCAGCCACGGGCTGCCACACAGTGAAAAGTAAAAGTGAAACCAGTTCCAGCAAGAGTTATTTTTTCACTCTAGGATCTCTAAGAGCACTACATTCATCTCTTGGTGTCTGAGGAAGGCTGTCTTCAGTAAAAGACTGTGAATCTGAAGCCAGAGAACTACAGAAACCTTGGCCACTGCAGAAGATTCAACACCTTTGGGGGTAGCTCCCACTTCGTTTCTGGCCAACTGGCCCCCAGCTCCCTGCCCCAGTTAGGGCTGTTTCCCAGGTAACCCAGCCTCAGAGGCTGCCACTTGGCAGTGGGGCTTGCCAAGCTGGAGTAGGGGCTCAAAGCCAAGGACTTGCCTAGGACTTCCAGGAAGCTCCTTCTCTACTCTTCCACCCTCTTCCATGCAAGAGCAAAGGGGAATTCCAGGGCCGCTGAGAGTTAGAGCTGAGTTTCAGCATGAAGGCCAGGGAGAGGTCTGATAAAATACAGATATGGATATGGATCTTGGAGAGATGGGAGTGGGGAAAGGCCTCGGCAGTGGGAGGGGGGCCCAGCTCTGGGGACAGTTCTGAAGTTCCCACGGAAATATGGCAAATGGAGAGGGACCGCTAAGAGGAGGGGTGGGGGGAAGGCCTGCCTAGCCGTGTGTGCCAGCTGTGAAGTGTGCAGGAACTCCCAGAGACCACATCTGGCTGATGTAGAGTGAAGAGGAGGGAAGGAGGAGTAGTACATAACAGAGGAGTTTCAGAAAGAGAGTGAGGGGCTGGGGGTGAGTGAGATGAAGGAGAGTGAGTGGCCGCGAGGGGATGGATGGTGAGGACTGGGAATGTGTTGGCAAGTGAGATTCCAGCCAGGTTTAAAAATGAGTATGGGAAATGAGGTGGTGGATAGGGGTGGAGGGCAGGTAGCTTCGCGTCCGCGCTGCGTGGTTCAGCTCCAGGTTCTTACCTGCATTACAGGTGGAAATGAGGGAGCCACCGGGCTGTCGGTCGTGAGCGCTCCAAAGCCTGCTCGCTGGGCCCTAGGCCTGCGTTCTGAGACCCTCCTTTCCCAAACCCCTAGCGTGGCCCGGAGAACTGGAACATCTCTTGGGAGGAAATCTCTTTGAGAAGCTCCGGGTAGTGTGCGCTCGGGTTCCTGGGCGAGCAGGCGCGCAGGGAGCTTCAGTAATCGCTATCCTTCCGGGAAACGAAAACGAAAGAGCGGGATCCGGCTTCCACTCCCTCCCCGGCGGGCTCGGGGGAGGGCAGGGGACGGCCCCTGAGGGAGGCGAGCCCCGGGACGCTGTGGCTTGGCCTAGAGGCGTCAGTCCTGCTTGCATCCTCCCACCGGTGGACAGCTCTCGGGCAGCCTGTCCGCGGGCTCCATAGGGAATGAAGTGGGATTCTGTGGGATGTGGGGAGCCGAGGAAATTCCTGTACCTGGGCTCGGGACAACGACAAACCAACTTCGTGTCGCCTTTGTGCTTCTCTTCAGAAGGATGGGAGAGGGCTGCCCATGCTGCCTGCCTGGATCTGGTCCCTCTCCCCTTAGGGGTGGGTGACCTTCCTGGGCCTGCCTTTTGGCTGCGTGGAGGCTCCACTGCCTGGGGCCCGAGGGCCACTGTCAGAGCTGGCGTGGTGCTCCTCCTGACCCAAGAACTCAGCGGATCCCCACCGGCACTTTTTCCAGGCCTCTGGCTGCCCCTGGCCTGGTGCCCACCCGCACATCACCCGTGTGCGCCTGCCTCAGCTCCTCGTATCTGGAGGGGAAAACGAGGAAGGTTGCAAGCACTAAAGCAACCAACATACACACCAAAGAAAAGGAGGGAAGAAGACTTAATAACTCTCTGCTGAAATCTGAGGGTGCAGTCGTTGTTATAAAGAAGGCATAGCACTGATATATCATGAGCTACCTCCTAGAAACCAGTAAGAACAAGGCCAGAAATCAGACAAAAAAATAAGCAAAGGGTATGAATAGAGAGTCTGTATAAAACAAAATGCTCAATGGGCCCTGAACATAGAAAAAAGATGCTCAGACTCTTCAATCATTATAAAAGATATGCAAATTAAAGTTATTCTGATATCGTTTTTTTACCCATTAATTTAACAAAAAAAAAAATCAAAAGTTTAATAACGTAATCTGCTGGAAAGGCTGAGAGGAACAGGCACTTCACTGGATGTGTAAAGTGGTACAACCCCATGGAGGGCAGTATGGCAGCATCTAGGAAAGTCAGAAATTCATTTACCCTTCACTCAGCAATCTCACCAAAGGAAATTTATTCAACAAAAATGCCTGCGCATATACCAAATGTACTACATGGTTATTCATTTCAGCATGGCTTATAATACCCAGGCATCCACCCGTTCAAAGGGGTTGATTAAATAAATTATGGTCCATCCATTTAACAGAATTCTGTGCTTCATCTGCCAGAGCTCTCTGTGGACCATGGCAAGCTCTCCAAGAAGCAATCTAGCAGGGCAGTTCAGAACCTGGGACAGCCTGTCCGGCTTGGAATACCAGCTATGTCACCTACTGCGTGCCCTTGAGCAAGTTCGTAAATCTCTTTACTGCCTTGCTCTTCGAACTACTGCCTCAGTTTCCTTAACAAAAAAATAGAAAGAATAACAATGTTTTATAAAGTTGTTATAAAGAGTGAGTTCACATCTGTAAGACAACTAGAACAGTGCCTGACCACCATGTTAAGCAAAATAAAATAAAGGTAAGGAACAGTGTGTATCACATGCTATCTTTTGTATGTAAGTAAATATATATATATGTATATATATATGTATATATATATGTGTGTATATATATGTATGTATGTATGTATGTATTTGTACAAAGACACTCCGCAAAGATGAGTAACAAACAAACAACTGGAATTCAATATAGAAAATAAGAGCAAGGGTTTATATTGCAAACCTTTTTATATCATTTTGATTTTTGAACCATATGAATAAATATCTATTCAAAAGAATAAAAAAAAAATGAAAGAAAGAAGTTTAAGAATATAGTCCGTGCCAGCAAACTAAATCTTAGGTGATGACAGAACTAAATAGGCGTTGCCTGAGACAGACTAAAAAAAATGGGGACATTTCCCCTTGGAAGGACAAAGGTAATGCTACATACGATCTAAGTCTATACAATTACAAACCCATATGAGCAGGAATAAGTAGAATCCCTCCTTCACAAAAGAAATATGCACAGGTGTTTTTATGCTCAATAAAATAACAGTATTTCATTTTTAATTATTAATTTTTTTAAATAACACTTTTTCTACAAAGAATTCAAAATGCAGACGTAGAACTTATAATTTATAACAACAAACTTTCTTAATACCTGTAATACTTCTAAAAGGGGGGAGAGAGAAAATATGAGGTCAACAGAAAGGAAGGAAAATAATGGGGCACTGCGGATCTGGACATGGGCAATAATAGTGGGGCCAATAGGTCGCTGGAGGTACCCAGGGAAGGGCCCAGGAGAAAGTGGCCATTTCGGTGACCTCCGGTTTGAGGAC